TGATTTTTACACCATTTTAATCCCCTAACCTCTATGAATTCCCAAAAGTTGTGTCAAACGTTTTCAGGTGCTCCCTTTGGCACTGCCAGGGTTTTCCCGAAAATCCGCCCAGGGCGGTTAAACGGAAAATTCCATTTCGTAAAACTAATTTTTGATGTCAAATAACCGCCCACCCGAATACTTAAAACAAAGATGTTGACTTCTATGTCACTGTCTTGCAGTAATTGTATTAATTTCTCTTTCTATTTATTTTAGCCGGCTCTAGATTTTCAGAAGTTGAAAGCCGACCTCTACATAGATTTAGCTTATACTAACAACCTGCTTCGTCAACGCGTTCACCGAGACAATTTGGCGAATTTAGTGGCTCAGATGACCGAGTGTCTGCGACTGATCCGCTGTCGAGTTGCAACGGCGGCTGCTTACATTCAAACTGATGCCCTTCCAAATATCTCTACTTCATCGGCTGCTCCAAGTTCGAATTCCGGATGCTCGTCCAAGACCACGTCATGTTCTTCTGATCCACCTGAAAATTCCTACTACAAGTGTGTTTGCCTTCCAGGTTTTACATTTAATTTTCAAATATTTATCATATTTCCTTTTATTGATATTCTTTTTATGGATTGTGCTATTCGGACCAATGGAGGCAGAGTTCTAGCTGAGGCGAAGATTTTTAAAAAAATATAGAGAGATTTTGCCTATGGGATTAAGGATTTTACTTCATATCATAGGTTCGATGAAGATCTTGAATCCAATGCCAGTTTTAAGGATGATATTCTGGGATATGTCATTTGAATCGCCCTCGATATTTAGTAGACTTAAAGCAACCGCAAATTGGGTGTTGGAAGTCTTTTCTACACGGAAGATCACAATATCAGAGATCCCATTGATCGTGCATTTGTATTTTTTCTGAATAGTTGTGTATTCTTGAGGTGAGGGCAGATTAGTTGTTTCAGTTAAGGAAGCCTGGCCAGGTCCAAGACTGTCTTGACATCTATTTAAATAAATAAATGAACAAATAAATGTTAACTTCCATTCTCCTTCGTGTTGGTATCTGATACCTCAGCAAATTAAAACAAGAGTAACGAGAAAATTTACAAAGATGCACAGTTTTGAATAATAATTACTGATCGTGTACTGCAAAGAAAATTAAGTAATTACTAATAGTTATATGACTTCTAAGGAGTATTAATGATTAGTTGATTAATAGCTTTGAATTTTACCTGCTTCGGTACTTAAAACGTAGTGGAGTTACACCTGTTAGATGTTTTAAGCATGGATTATTGGTAAAAGGAAAAAATAAGCCACTTTTTAAAACCGATTGGCGCTTAGGTTTAAAGGTAATTGAGGAAGACGGTTATCTAATCCTTCGGCTTTAATTCGTATGCAGTCCCGCAATTATATGTTATATAAATCATTTCGACGGAATTTTTGATTTCAGATTGTACAGTTTTTGGCTAAATGAGTAATTCCCACTCCAAAATTCAAATGTTATGATTCGTCCCCTGAATTGCAGTAAATGCTTATCTCTGAAGTCGAATGCCTGTATTTATCTTTCGTAAATATTTATTCGTTTCTAATGATTATTCTAACTCATTTATCCTTCGATTGGTGTGTTTTATGGTAGTTTATCGAAAATGCTTGAAGAAACTATAAAATGCTCTAAAATTTATGATTCTATAGGTGAACATAAATGCTCAATTTGAGATATGTAATCTTTTATGCACTTCATTATTCAAAATTCGGTAAATTTATCATCAATAATTATGAGTTGTGCTCAGTTTATCTTCATGAATTATACCCATTTATGCGCCTAGCGATGAATTTTGTTTAGAAAGCTTTTCATCAGAAGTTTCTCTTGGAAGTATTTCGACTTTTTCATCAATTTATTAAAAATAAATAAATAAATACATTACTTGTGTAGGTTTTTAAAAGCATCCATTAGCATTTTTATTGCCCTTTTCTTCTTCGTTCCTCTCTTTCTCTCAAACACCGAGTGGGATAATTATTAGATTTGATCACAAATTGAGAATATTATTTTTATTTTTACTCCCTTACTTACGTCATTACCCATTCAGTGGTTAGCAAATATTTCCGAACATAAAGCTTAGAAAATGTGTTGATAAGACTTTGAATATACTCAACTCTTTACTTACCATTAAAATATGGCTTTCGTAAATGACTAATTACAGATACGGGTTCAAAAGGAAGATTTGTCGCCTTAAATCAGAGTTCATTTTGGCTCAATTCTGTCTTGTGATTTCTGCAGTGTTAAGATCACGTGAATCACTTAAGATCCAATAAGATCCTGGAAGAACTTCACTCAGCATGGAAGTAATTGCCATATTTTTTGTCATTCTCTTCTTTTGGTAAAATTCTACTAGTTAAAGTTTCACGCCTTCGTTCCAACATTGCACTTCCAATACGAAGATTAACTTGTCAATCGATGGACTTAACAAAGCAGTTTCCACTGGATGACATTTGAAACAATCTTCAAGCGAGCTTTATTCCTTTATTTTTTAAAAAAATAATGAATTTTTACTGTAAAATTTAGTCCGAAATTGAATTTACTCTCCTGTCGAAAGTGGTAATAGTACATACGCTTATCTGTCTGTGTACTCTCTCCCTCTCTCTCCCTCTCCCCCTATCTCCCCTCCCTTTCTCTCTCTCTTCCCTGTGTTTCGCAAAGCTGTCGAAATTGGACAGGTTGGCAGGTTTTTGTGCATTCTTTGTCTAAAACAAGTTTTTACCACTTACAAATAAAAGGGCACTCATAACTCCTGACATTTAAAGCGATCATAGTTGTTAGAATTTTATGTGCATTTTCAAAGGTGGTTAGTCAGTAATTTTGAAGTCGGAATAAAACGGATTAAATTCCTCACTAATCCACTTATGAAACGTATCTTTGGTGGCAAAATTCAAATACTGTTTTATTTGTAGGTAGAGAGAGAGAGCCTTAGAGAAAGAGGAAGAGAGAGAGAGAGAATTGGGTGAATGATTCCGATTGCTACTGAAATCTTAACGCACTTCAAGCGTTAAGAGCCATGAAATAAACATTCTCTTCAACAAATGAGATTGGAATGTCTTGGCAACTACTTTTCCGTTAGTTTCAAGGTGTTTTCAGCATAAATTTATCTTCGATCAGCATACCAATAGCGTCAAGTTTGATGAATGGCTGATATAGTCCATGCTGAGGAGTAGTGTGCAAGCATTCATTCCATATCACGTTCTTTCTACGACCTTATGACGTAGTACTTCTCAAGGCGTTGGGGATAAGGAGGGACTACTCAACAGACTGAGTCATTCCACTGTCTAGACTTTGCCAATATTAAGTTATGGTAGCTGTGACTAACAATGGTCTGCCTATTGAGAAAAAATTTCCATTACAGCCTGATTATTAGTAGAATGAAATTGTTGAGGTTAAAGTTGAACACAGGGTGCAACAGAGGGACTCAAAATACGGCTCACGATTAATGGAAGTTAAAATTTTGACCTTGACAACTGGTGTATTCGGCCAGTTATATCATTGAAAAGTATCTTTGAAGAGTACTTTTTCCTTACCATGAAAAAAATTGACTACAATACATTGTGGAAAGTCAAGGCTTGATACGCATGGAATGGAGGCGAAATTAAAATGGTGTGTTGGTTACCGCCAAATTCTAGGCCATAGTATGTCTTAGCTGTGGTATAGTCGCACAAACAATTAGCCCATTCCTAATGAAATTTGCAGAAAAAAGGGATGGAGACGTGTATTCCCAAGCTCTTTTACTAATTACGCAAGGTACTGCATCACCGGTCACTGTGAAGGCTTTTGAAATGTCCCCCGTAGGGTTAATTCTCTCTCTCTCCCCCTCCCCCCCCCTCTCTCCCCCCCCTCTCTCTCACACACACACATTTATAAACTTTGAAGTGCTTTATGCTAATTAGACACACAAATACAACGTTTTACTGCCTTGTACCAAGGAGAGCATGGATGTTCTAAAAAATTTAAACACCTTATTTATTACTTACCTCGCAGAAGTTAGCATGAAATTTATTATTTCAATGTTTTGGGGGCGTTTACCAAAGTATGCCTTTGTTTCCCCCCCCCCCCCGCACCCCCCACAGTAACGAGGGTTATGTAAACTTAGTCCCAAAATTATCTAGAAAGCATTTCTCTGTCTGTTTAATAAAGTCCAATACCAGACAGGAAGGAAGGAAGAAAGCAGCGATATTGTCAGAAGTTCTATGTTAGGAGAACAGAAATGGCGGATAGTGGCATTCGTATCAAGTAATCTGTTGAGTTTAATTCAGCCGAATATGAGCTCATTGTGAGGAAATTTTGCTAATTAAGAGAAAGGAGGAATCAATAAACAACCATTGAGCACAAGTCTCGGCAGAAGGAATTGAGGCTCGATATTTTTATTCTACTATGCAAAGTTTCTGACAATAACACTGTGTCTGCTTATGACTTTCATTTAGTCCTTACCTTTCCCGCACCTTGAAATTTCCAAGCCTGTGGGGAGGTGGGGGGGGGGGGGGGGGGGGGGGGTAGGGGAGGGAGAGAGGAGCATTTGAAATTCAAGGCACTCACGTTTCATTGATATTGGCTTTACTACAATAAATTTCCCATTTACGACTGATAAGGGGAAGTCAACATACGTGCACTTGGGCAGTAAGAATGATGATATGTGAATGCGTGATAATCATTGCATTCTCCCGTATACACGGCAATAGTGAAAGTTAATAAAAGTGAAGTTGGAGTAACCACACGTCTGGTCGCTTTCTTATCTCTCCCAGGGTTTAGGAAAACTGTATTTTTGTGGTAAATAGTTGACAGTTGCATCAATTTAGTAAAACTATATCTTTTAGCTGATCTCTAGAATAAAGAGACAGACGAAAAAAATGTGTGAGAAGTTGAAAAATGGCAAACAGACAGTTGATTTGTGACTTTCACCTCACAATCTTTTTGTATATTAGAAGAAATCATTTTAAAACCGAACAGGATCAATAAATTTTAATTTTTACCTCATAACTTTTCTCTCCAGCCAAATTTGTGCCAATCAGAGAATCATTTATGTCCCTCACTCGTATTCAATGTAAGTTTCTTACTTAAAATATCTTAGAACACTAAATTCCCACAACATCTTTTATTCGTTAATTCACTTCATTATTAATTTTATTTTTTGATGATTTATTTTTATTCAAACAGGAAAAGCATCAAACCATTTTATATTAACTGCATTACTTAAGTTTCTTAACTGATTTGTTTATATAATACCGTTGAACTATTACATTGTGAAATTATGGAATCTGCTAGCCTCAAGGTATTCCAAAATTTCATTGGTGCACATCCGAAAGGTTGATCATTATTGAATGCCTTTATCCTATTCCATTAGGCCGGGAGAAATTGGTATGAAACTTCTCAAGTTTAATTTCAGTGAAAATCGCGTGATCTTGGAAGCGGTTAGTCGATTTGAGAACGCTTACATATCATTCGCTGGCTGGTTGACCGAATTGGCGTCCTTGAATCCTCCACCAATGGAAGTGCTTCCTGTGGCCTTGGGTGATGAGACACCAGTCGGTCAGCAGGGTGGAAATTTGAATCCTCCTCCTCCTTCAACTTCATTCTCAAAGAAGAGTGGTATTCGAGTATCCTTCCCAATTAACCGCTCGGCTGTCTCTTCTCTTCATTCACCCGATTCCCCTCAACAGGATGACGTCTTGACTCCGGATGACGTGGGTGAAATTATGGCGAGAGGAAATGCCTGTTTTTTGGCAATCCAAACGGCTGCAGAGGTATGAAGCGTTGAATTGAATAATTTTTTGCATCTACCTATCTAGAGAGCACCAGAATGCTATCAATTTTTTAACATTTGGAAGTTTTATTGTTATGAGTGAAATGTTTTCTTTGAATTAGTTTACTCAAGATAATTGTATTTGACTACTGGCTCTCATGACAATAATAATAATAATAATGCAATTTGATGCTATTGTAACTTGAGTTTACTTTCTGACATATCGTCTCCTTTACTTCTAACAATCATGATAGATATTTCACTTAAAAGGGGATTCAGAAATGATCCTAACACCGACTGAATTTTGTGATTGAAACAATATTTTTCTTATAAATATGCTCCAATAATAGTTAATTATGAAGTTGATTTGTGGTGTTATGACGTTTTTTCATCAACCCATAAGCATTTTATGCCTCGGACTTGTTGGCAGAGAATCCAAGTTCACAGCGTACCACTACAGTCTGCCGACTTTATAAATAAAGTTATGTTTTATTAGTACCCTTTAAAGATGTGTTTCATGCTTTATTTGACCTCTTTAATATGACCTCCTAGTGGTACGTGATGGAGTTATCTCTCAGGTAGATGTGCCAGCTGACCCTAACTCTGACCACGTTTTGATTGGAGACAGATGTGACGTTAATTGGTAATCGCAATTGAAGTTTCCACAAACTGCTTTCTCACGTAGTCTAGTGTTGATGGAGAATATTTATCTATTCAAATAGACCGACAGAATTGGGTAACCGCAATAAGCATGTTTCACACATGAATAGTAAGAGAGGGGCGGGGGGGGGGGGAGAGAAAGAGATGCAAGTTGTTTCCCACATGTTCATATGTGATTTATTGACAATTTCTAAAGTCGGCTGTTTATTGAATCGGTGATACATTCTGTCGGCTAAAACTATCCCTTAATTTTGCCAAGGCGTAACCAGAAATTACATCAAATAGGGAAGCATTTAAAAAATATTTGATGGCTTTAACAGCCTGGTGTAATTTTGTTTTGTTCATAATTAATTAATTAATTAATGTATTCTCGTGCTTATTAATCGATCGATAAGTTAAAAGGATTGATAAATAGCTGACACGGAAACATTTCCAAAAAAACAGTCGTTAAGTAACTCTTAATGAGTTTCACAGTAATATCATCGGTTGAACGTTAAAGGCTAGGAACAATTCGTTCTAAATTTAAGAAGTCAAAGCAAATGTCCTATCGAGTAAACTTCCCAATTTATGAGAACTGAATACCAAAATTTATCCATTACCTCCATCATTATCTTGAATTGGTCGACAGTCAAACGCGCTTGAGTTCCATTCGTCCTCTCTGATTCCGCCTAGTTCCACTCCTCGCCAATAGAAAGGAAACAAGGACGCTTAAATCTTTCTTTTGGGGAAATATTTGGCTTTATCCTAATTGTCTGTGTATGTGTGTGTGTGTTTAAGCAAAAAGTGAATTTCTCATCGGATTTTTTTTGAAGGAAATGCAAATAAATCACAAGCAGTATGGCGCATTTTATGAATTTTGATCGTCAAGGTCTTTTATTCCTAAATAAGGAATGCCCTTTTTTTGTAACCCTAGCCAGATTTTGTTATATAAGCGTTGCCCAGCAACCACATTATTCTAACTGGTTCGCGCATTTGTATGGCCTCAAAAGAAAGCCTGTTTGACTAATGTTTGTCACTTCCCCTTCCAACTGTTTCCAACTGCCCTAAAAAAAAACAGCGACCGTTGGAGTTACTATTACTGTTAGCTAATTGCTGCTAACTCCTCCCTTTAGTGCAATTAAAAAGATGCAACAGGGAGACATAAAAGTCATTAGCCTGTATATCCATATTTCAGTCCCTTTTGCAACCAAAGGGGAGATTATGCAACCGCTGATTTTATTTATTTCAAATGGCAGGCGTTGTGATAGTTACCATTAGCTGATTTCGGGATTCATAGAGAGGAGGAGCATCAAGGTGACAAGAAGTCAAGATTGGGGGATAGAATAATGATTCACAGATGTAAACGAGACAGACAGACACAAAAGCAGAGAATAGATAAGACAAGTGCCGTGGAAGGGTTCGAATATGGCATATAATGCGGTCATGGTCGTTTGTAGTCAGAAGTTAACTACCGATTAATAGACCTTTTGCCGTATGAGTATACGTTGCCAAGGTGCACCAAGTGGTGGTAAGTCTACCGTACACCCCGATCGCTGATCTAATAAAGCCAAAAAATAGTTATATCTTTTCGGACACAGTTACCTCTCTCAGTCTCCTAAAGCACTGAAATATGTACTATTCAGTTACAAAAGGAAGAAATTTAGAGTGACACTTTAATAACTAACGTGCAAAAACTTGTTGAAACCTATTCCGGGATTTCAGCCTATCCCGTCAATGCAATATGCTTTAAGGGGAAAGTCTTTAAGTGTTTAAAGGAGCATGACAAGCAAACTCGCTACTTCAAATATTCCCATTCCTAACTAGCACCTGAAAAGAAGCATTCAACGTTTAATGTCTAGATTATAATCGAGTTCCATTCGGTTATGTAGGTCAGCGGTTCTTTTATTTTCATGGGAAAGCAAACTTGCGTCGTGTCTGGATGGAAAAGAACATTTGGAGATTTCGAGTTTCCCATCTAGAAGGAGGTGTTTGAACCTACTGGAATTAAGCGTTACTATTGAACCATTTGAAAACGTCTGCTTAAAAACCTGTTCATTCGAAAATTATTATTATTATTTCAACTGGCTTCGGCTTTCTCAAGGGGGGGGGGAGGAACATATATATGGGTTTTTGGACAGTTAATAGTAGTTCATTAGCTGTCTTCTGGCTTCTCAGTATCTCTGGGTTTCTGTCGTTATCTTCTGGGCTGGACATCCAATCAGATGGGTCTTCTCCATTTCCTCCCGTAAGTCACATGGGGTGGCATATTGTTGAGCGTATATTCCTAATCTGCCCGGTACGTAGTCTAAATTCGATTCTTGGCCAATCGGCTATGTCGGAGAGTGCCACTATCCACTGTTTCTCCTTTGTTCGAGCTTAAGGTTTGTTGCACCTTGAGGTCTTGAATTCTCTCCTGATTAAGGTCTTCATTGTGTGGAAAGGCATCAACCGGTCTATGCCTTGCTAAATTGTAGTCCCCTTCTTTGCAAATGCGTCAGCAAGCTCATTCCCTTTAATGCCACAGTGTCCAGGGTTCCATTGCAGAACCACTGTTTTGTTTTTGCTCTCAGCAGCTGATAGAGGTTTTTACATTCTTTTAGCTCAGCATTAGTATATCTCATCTGTTTTAGGAGGCTCCTTTTTTCCAATTGAGTTTATTACTGACTGCGAGTCCGAAAGTATTACTGCTTTTGTGAATTTCGTATTCAGGAAGCATAATTGGCCTAGTACTCTCTTAATGGTCTCTATTTCTCCTTCAAAAGCGGATCTATTGTGTCCCGCGGCTGCGTAGAAAGAGAAGAGTTTTAAGTAGACACCTGCACCAACGTTTGCTTGGTTTTCTATGTATGACCCATCAGTGAAGACTTGGAGTCATTGATCTGCAGGATAGTTGACATTGATTGTCTCAAGGACCAGTGAGCGCATTTGTTCTGGAGGGGTGTTTGATTTCCTGAAGTAGTCAAGCAGTTGGGTGCAACACTCGACATCAGTGCTTGCTAATGGATTCATGGGTAGAGGGAAGCGTTTGGTTTGTCATCGATTTGTAACGCTTTCTTCAGTTCTATGGATTTCCGTATTAGACCAGTTTGCGTTTTCAGATGTCTTGGTCTATTTTCATTGGTGCTGAAGAATTTATCCATGGGAATGCGCAGTAGCTTCTCATACAGGAGAACTTATCCATGGGAATGCGCAGTAGCTTCTCATACAGGTACTTATCCATGAAGTAGCTTCTCATACAGGATCAAGGCCTTTTCTTTGATGAGGTAGCTTCTCATACAGGATCAAGGCCATCTCTTTGATAAGAGAACCTTCTCATACAGGATCAAGGCCTTCTCTTTGATATGGGAACGTATTGTTGTGTTTCCTGTAACCAGGTGCTCGCAGCATTACAACATTATTGGTTGAACAAATATCTTGTAAGTAGAGTTTAAGGTTAATCATCCGAAATATTTTCTAGCTTTATCCTTCGTTTTGAATACTTGGCGCTCAAACGGTGTGAAAATCTATAAAGTAATTATCATTTTGCATCAATATTATTTTTATAGGTGGTGTGAAATGATGACATTTTTTGTAAACAAATGAATATTTATTAAACTGGATGTCTAAGCAAAGATTAGTTTAAAATACAAAAATCATATTTTGCGCATTTTTTGTTTAAATGAACTGTTAATTTGTAACTCTTTGCAAATTTTTAGATACACCTTCTCCCAACTTCTCTTTCTTAAGTATTCTGCTATTATTGGAATTGAGTTAGTTACCTAATAGAGGTTATTTACAATAATAATTTAAATTAGTTAAGTACTCGATAGTATCTTATTGCTATATATTTAGGCAATGCGTTTTGCCCATTGTTTAGTGTTTAAACCTTGTAATGCTCTGTTATCAAAGTAAGAAGATGATTGGTCTTCCAATTTGAAATGTCAATTATAGGAACGGCAGGTAGGTTGAAATCTTTTCGGAATTCCGTGGAATCTTAACTTCCTCCAAAGATTGGCACGAAAGGCTTCTTTATTTACGCTTTTGTTGCGAGTTTAGTCTATGCCGATTCCGGCGGTAGGAAGTGAGTTTCGTAAACAAATCCATAAACCTGGTACTAAGCCCCCCCCCCCCCCCCCCCCGAAGTAGAAGAATTCTATTAAAAGAATGAGTGGAGGAGGAATTTGTCTTTGCGCAAAAATAAATTTGGAGTTTATTTAATGCGTAGAGTTTGTATTGGCAAATTTCTCTTGAACAGCTAAGAAAGTTCATTCCCTCTTCCTCTAAAATCGCAAGAAGCATGTGCATGGCAAGGAGAACTTTCAGCACCCAATTTGGGTTAGCTTTAAATCTTACTTAGTTTCGTAGTAATTACCTTAGTTTCAAATGGGA